GAGGCTTTGACATATCCTTGTTCTACAGAGATATCATCAGTGTAGCAGAGGATGCGGACCTTGGGGTTCACTTTGAGGAATCGAGCAAGCTGGAAGACCTGTTGAGGAAGGTTCGTGCCAAGGAGACCAGGAAGCGCGTCCTTGCCAGGTGGGCACTGAGGCAAGGCCAGCCGCCTGCAGGTCCCCTGAGAAATGACAGGCGATGGCTTGGTGTTCCTGGCTGTGCCCCTGCTGTGTGTGCTCCTCTAAAACACCTGCTTTATGCCCAGGTCAGTGGTGCGGTGCTTGCAGAGTAGCACTGTCCCCTGTCTCCTTGCAGTCACAGGATGTCCCCAGCTGCGCTCGTGAGTACATTGTTTTTTTCTCTGTGCCGGGTGTATGAGCACCTGCTTCATTAGGTTACTTGGACAAGTCAATTCAAACAGAAAGCAAACATAAGCAGAACAGTATGGAGAAAAAAGTTATTAAGGGTTATTGTCATTGTTAAAATCACGCTACTCTCCTTTTTTCTCTGCTGGAGATTGCACCCAAGCCCTTGTGCATGCCCGGCAGGTGCTGTGCCGCAAGCTGCCTTCCCAGCCTAATTCTGATTTCTTAAGCAGTTGGGACCAGTAGGATTAACAGGTGATCTTGTTCTGTGCTTGATGATAGGCAAAAGGCAGACATGTGGTAGGTCATCTTTTCAAGAGCCTTGAACTCAGAACCTTGAAGGGTCACAGTGTTCTCTGTGAAGTGGGTCAGGCATTTAGTTTAGTATTTTACAATGCTAGGACCAAACCGCAGGCCTGTGCCTGCTCAGCAAGAGCCCTCCTGCTGGGCTCCACCCCGCCCAGCTATGTGTCCGCTATCATGTTAGCAGTTAATAGGTTCTCAAAATTGTGGTATAAGAAATTCTGTTGTATTAAAGTGCCTTCCAGCCTGTAATCCCACTACTGGGGGGCCAAGATGGGAGGATTGCTGAGAGTTCAAGGCCAGCCTGAACCACTTAGTGAGACCCTGCTCAAAAAAAAGCACTCTTTGTAGGTTTTTGAAAAGTCATTTAGAAATATTTTTTATTTTTATTAGTATATGTTAGCAGTACATAATGATGACATTTGTTGTGGGACTTAGTTCCTGTACCACAACCCTTTCTAAGTTCTTATCTCTGTGAACTTAGGATTGTTGGAGAGAAGAAAGCAAATTGTAGCCTGACCTCCATAAAGGAATTTTATATAGGAAAATAGATGTAACCTTTCCCTCCGTGCTTTTTTTCTTCTTTTTCTCTCAGGTTAAAATTTAAGCTTGACAAAGACATAGCACTCACCGTGGGCATTTATAACCTGGTCCAGAAGGCCACCAAGCCACCGCCAGTGAGGCTGTACCGGGAAACAAACGAGCCAGTGAAAACCAAGACGCGGACGTTCAGTGTGAACACTGGCAGTTTGCTCTTGCCCAGCGACACCAAGCGCTCTCAGGTGGGCAGATCTGCCGCCGTCCAGTCGGCCTCCGGTGGGAGAGGGGGCAGGGAGCTGCGATGTAGACGGCCTAGTGGACGGCCTAGCCCGGTGGTGGTGAGCCTGTGGCACGTGTGCTCTTTTTAAGACAGAAGGTGTTAATGTAGGAGTTTTTTTCTGAACTAAAGCCTTAGTATTTGCGTTTTAGTTGTGGTGTTGGCACTTTGTAATAAAAAAGGTTTCAGGCTGCAGTTTGGACACTCGTCTCTATCTATATGCCATCCCAGGCCTGGCCAGTTAGATCAGTTCTGCGGGATGGCTGTCTGGCCCCTCTGGGGGCGCAGTCTTTACTCTGATGTCTGGGTCAGTGATGTCCTGAGCGCTGGACAGTTAAACAGCGTCGGGGTTTGCCGGAGATGCCTGTAGAAACTTCAGCTGTGCTCGTCCCTTAACTAGGAGAGGGAGCTAGGGCAGTGGTCCGTACGGAGTGGACCTTTTTTGTTGTTGTTGTCTTTTTGAGACAGGGTCTCCCTATGCAGCTCAGGTTGGCCTTGATCT